AACTATCAATTAGGACCGTCCCGATGACGCGTTCATCTAGATAAAATTGATAAATAGCAGATTTTTAGCGATGGGCCCAATCTTGATCCATAGGGCAACATTAGAGCCATTTCCCCTATATAACGCGTCATTGGGATGCTACTAATGGATATTTTTGGTCGCTTTTGAAAATTTAGTCGATTACTGAATTTATGTATGGGCCCAAATTAGGGGTATTTAGGCCGACATTACATCCATTTCCCTTATATATAGCTTTATTATATATAATAGCATTATACGTCTGGCCACGTTATGTTAGTTTGACCTAAGTCTACTAAAAACAGTGCATATTTCATATTTCAGGTTTGGAGTATTAATAACGCAGCGTTGGTGCGGATGGCAGAACTAGTGCCTGAGATTGCCAGTTCTACAATAGAAAATGCAATGTTGGAACATGTTCGCCGGTGTGATCCATTGAAAAACCCATTACATCTAATGGAGCTATCGAAACAACTACCAAGCATTCAGGATGTTAACCTAAGTTACATCAAACTAAGGAAGCTGTGTATACCAGAAAACGATAGAGAATTTATGGTAATTAATTCATCGGTAATTATGAAACTTAATACGGGTATGATAAGCAATCTATTTCTTTTTAGCAACAAGATGCCAGATTTCATTCATTACTCGATAAGACGTACTGGTTATTGTATGTGTCGGTTTGTTTAAAGCAATCTATGGAAGCTGCTAAAATAATGATGAGTGGGCGCACTGTGGTGTTGCAGGAAATTAGTGGAAGGGATATGTGCAGTGTTATGTCAAGTTTAGTGCAACTTTTGTTGGATAAAAGCTTCCGTTCAATTAACGGTTTTCAGACACTTATACAAAAAGAGTGGATTAGCTTGGGACATCCTTTCAGTGATCGCATTGGGCATGTGTACAATGAGAACTCGAATGAAAGAGGTCCATTATTCTTACTCTTTTTGGATTGCGTGTGGCAGTTGTTGCAACAGTTCCCGGAAGAATTTGAGTACTCCGAAACATTTCTCACAAGCCTGTGGGACTCTGTGTTCCTTCCTATATTCGACACGTTTCAGTTTAATTCTGAGACTGAACGGCAGATTGCTCAAATAAACGATCGCATCATTGTGAGGCCTGTGTGGGACTGGGGAGAACAGTTTAGCGACAAAGATATTGCCTTATTCACAAATCCGTTATATAAAAAAGTATCGGATACAGGGCATGTGGTGGAGAAAAAGTTAAGATTACCACCAACAGCGTACCGTCTTCCTTGTATAGATGATTTGAAGAAAAGCAACAACTTGGCAATACACAACTCAGCGGAAGCGATCGCATCAACTTTAAACCTTTCTGCTAAATCAACTCAAAGTCAACAACAGGACACTGCTGTGGTAATGTATATTTATCATTCCCATTACACATGAGGGGGTCAGAAGTAAAGGGGTTAAGCGACAAACATTATTGAACACTTTATAAGATAATATGAGCTGTACACACTTACTAACACCCCCTCCTGCTATTAAAATGTTAACGCAAATTCTGGACAGCCCCTAATGTGAACGACGATTATTAAATTTTACTTAAGTATCGGTAATTGCAATTTTCTCATTTTTCAGGTTTGTCGCTTGCACTCTCTTCCTTCTAACCCCCTCATATACATCCATTTAGCTTTTTAATCGACTGTTTATTTACTTTTTTGTTATGAAACTAAGAAGAATATTTCCTTACCGATTTCATAATTCAGGTATGAATTCAGGTTTATAATTTCACAATTGGAAATTATTCCATGTCCCACTATTATATGTTACATACAAAACATACTTTCACTCGCGTTTACTAAACTCATGCCCGAGTTGCGACGAGGTGAAAGTAACCGACGGAGAGCTTGAGTCGTGCAAAGAATTGGGCTAGGGCACTTCCTAGACCAATTCTACCAAACAGCGATTGCTGGTGACCAGATGTAGCACCAGGGCGCATTCGTTAGATCTATTTGGGTATGTGGTATCTAGTAATATAGCACGTTCGTTTCTTGTAGCTGATTGTCAAAAAAAGCCTTTATTCCATTCAACTTACAGGGTTTATATAGCCGAAACGGCTTCAGAATTTAAAAAGTTCTTACATTGCATTTTCCTTGAACTAGTGGGTTAAAACGAGAAAGAACGAGACGCCTGGGAAGGTGTGGACAAACATTGAACATTTCGGCTATTTCGCCTTCTACGCACCCATCGATAATGTTTTGCTATTTGACACGTTTCATTTCCTTACTGGGTCCGTCTACGCGAGACCTCTGCTATGCACCGGCGTAAAGGAAAAATGATAGAGTCAGCAAGACGTTCATTCAATCGCACCACACATGCTTTCCTGACCTACTTCTCTCCGTTGCATTTCGGTTTGCTTATGGTTCAAAGTGAAATGAGTAGTAACGTTAATATTTGTAACATGAAATGTGGATGGGGTTCTGCTAATCTATTGCATTGGGAAAGTGCATAACTCACAAAGTTTTCTTACTACATGGATTGTAGTAAAACTTATGATGCACTTTAAATGTGAATTTTAGGTAACTTGGTTTATAGAACATAAAAAGCAGTATAAACGTTCCACTAATATTGTTCAAACTTCCTACAGCCTCAACCAATCAATTATAAAACTTAATCGATAAATCTTGCATGTTTGATAATTTTTTTAATACTTTATTATAGAGATTTTTAGACATGTTTGATGAACCATCAGCCAAAATTCCAGAAATTTAAATATGCCCCCAGGATGATTCCTTATTCAGCGGTTTATAGATCTCAATATAGTAAGAGTACCGTTTTTGAGATATTCCCGAAAAACTGTTGACCGGTCTTACGAGTTAAATTGCTCTGTGTGATGGCAAACAGTGTAGTTCAATTTGTTGTGCAGTGAAAAATTATTTTTAATTGGTGGAGGCGAACCAGCCCAAGGCTGAAAGCCTCCCTAATAAAGATAAATAATAATAATATTTTTAATTACGTGTGAAATTGTGTTGTGTTCCGCGATTGATTAATTGCAACGCGTGCCCTATTGTATTTGATAACAGGATAAGTAGGAGAACATGTTACAAAAGTAGCCGTTCTCGTAAAATTTTGCTTATTCTTCGATCCCCCCGGCGCACTGAAAGGAAGCAATTGCTTTCCTATAGTAGCTGCGGCGGTGAAATCGATATTTAATTGTCTCTTCTGTATCCTGTGTATTGTTGCATGCAGCGTCTGTTGACTGTGTTTAGGTAGAAATGGAATGTCCAAAATGCGAGTCTGGGGTAATGGCAAGCGATCTGCCGTTAACCTGTAGTGGTAAATGTTCTCGTGTGTTCCACATGAGATGCACTACACTTACAAGGAGTACGGCAAAGGTTGTCATGGAGAATGTTAATCTTCTATACAAGTGTGACGATTGTCTGTCTAGTTGTAACGAGCAGATTGATTCGATCTCGCATGTTAGAAATATTGAGGAAGAAGTGAAGAGAATATCTTCTATTTCGGCCTCGATCACAAACATGCGAGATCAGATTACTGTTCCAATTGATAACACGTTAAAGACCGGTATGGAAGCTATCCGTTTAAATGTAAATGGTACCCTGAAGGAAGCCGTTGGCGGACTTGAAATATTATTAAATGAAAAGTTGGAAAATATGACTAGTTCATTTTCGAAAATTATTGCGGACAACAATTTAGTTGCAATGAATAATGGCAGTGGATCGATTCCCTCTGAAGCGGGTCAAATCCCCGATGGTAATAGTAATAGTCATGACGAAGAGAATTCTACTAATGATAAAGTTAAGTGTAGTTTCGCGGATGCTTTAAAAAACGGACAAGGGGAAGGTAAAAGTAGAATAAAAATAAAGTAGAAAATGATAAAAGTAAGGTTGAAAGTAAAAAACTGAACAACCGTAAGGCTCGCCCGGTCATTGTGATTAAACCTAAAGAGTCCAAACAAGACTGCGAGAAAACTCGCAAGTTTTAGAAAACAAACCTGGATCCAAAAACACACAAAATCAGTAACTTTAGAAACGGGAAAGATGGCTCCATTATTGTTGAGCAAGGAATCAAAAATATCTCCAAATGACAAAATAACAAGCGATCAACGAACCGAATAATAACGCTATGTCAGAAGTGGAAAACAATAATGATATAATCTTCACCGTTCTTTTTCATGACAAGCAGCTCGTGCGACCCAACTCATTCGGGGCGGTAGAAGGAAACGAGCAAATTGTTGGCAAGCTGCTTCACGAAGTAAAGCCGAAGATGATACACGTGTGTTAATGGGAACTTTTTTGTTATGTCTTTTCCCGATTCATATCAAGCTATGTCCTCATCCGTGTATATTGCAACAAAGCAGGCAAGCAATATATCATTATCCTTCTACCACTCGGATCGAGCTTTGTTACAGAGCGAGTTTGTCATGGTAGTCGTAGCAACCGTTTTGTCTGTATCGTTGGTTGCTTTATGTGTTTGGATTCGCTGATTGTTGAGTGTGCAACAGGATACAATGTAAATGAGGTGAAAAAGGGCATTGAAAGCAATTTGGGTGAAAACTACAACGCTGTTGTTCCCACATCGGTGCCAATGTTAAAAGTGGTGGGCATGAGCGATCAGCATTCCTCCGATGTTTTCATTGACTTCTTAAAAAGTCAAAATGAAGACATCGCAATTAATGATGTAAAAGTAGTTAACATGTTTGAATCTCCACGCTTCACTTACAACAAGTTTAGTGTTGTGATTGAAGTCGATATCGACAACAAGAACTGGTTCGAGACATTTTTAGATTCTAGTAAATTAAATATACTTGCGGGTGATTTTAACATTAATTGGCATGATACTAGCAATTCGAACCATCTGAAGCAATTAGCTGATTTCTTTAATTTAAAACAATTAGTAAGTGAATGTACGCGTATTTCCCGGCACAGTAGAACTTTGATTGACCATGTTTATTCTAATTTTGATTCTGTCAGTTCAGTTACTCAAGCTGATTTTAAAATAACCGATCATGAAACTTTAGTAATTAATGTCTTAGACAGTGTTAACGATAACAATAATTTTGTAAAATTGAAGTGCTGGAGGAAATATTCGAAGCAAGCTGTTTCGAATCTTGTTGAGAGAAGCGTGGATTTTCCATTAGTTACCGGAACTTTGGATGAAGATGCAGCTGTTCTTACTAACGTTTTGAAAACTTGTACCAATAAATTAGTCGAACAAAAGTTTGTTTTTTTGAAAAACTCGAACAGCTGGTACAATTTGGATCTTTTGCGTCTTAAACGTAAGAGGGACAAATGGTACAAAAAGTTTTGTAGATCTAATAGTGATAATCATTGGAATAGGTACACGGTCGTGCGTAATAAATATTCACAATCGATTAAGAAAACTCGATGTGAATATATTCAGAGGAAAATTGATCAGCATCAAAACAACAGCAAAGAGTTATGGAAAATTTTGAAATCTTTGATGAAGCCTAATAATTGTAAATCGCGGACCATAACTTTTGATGGCATATTAGAACAGTCAGAACCAGTAATTGCTTCTAAGTTTAATGACTATTTCGTCGAGAGCGTTTCACTGATCAATCAATCTATGGAACTGATCAATGAACCGGACGAAATAAAACAGCCGATTAATAGTAATTGTAGATTTAATGGTTTTCACCCAATTACATTAGATGAACTTAAAAATATTTGCTTTTCATTAGGAAAAACGGCTGGAGTAGATAATGTTAATGTTAGAGTTATTCAAGATTGCTTTCATGTCATTCGACACACTCTGCGGGACCTTATAAATCAATCATTGAAATCTGGGCACGTGCCGCATATTTGGAAAGAATCTTTAGTTGTTCCTATACAAAAAGTTGCTGGGACGATTAAAGCCGAAGAGTTTCACACATTAGAGAAAATTTTAGAACTTGTTGTAAAAGGCCAGCTGTTAGAATATTTAAATAGTAACTGTTTGTTGATATCGGAACAATCGGGATACCGGGAAGGCCATTCTTGTGAAACCGCGTTAAACTTAGTGTTAGCTAAATGGAAAGAAAATTTGGAGCATAAAGATACGATTGTTGCTGTGTTTTTGGATCTAAAACGCGCTTTTGAGACAATTTCTAGGCCCTTATTGTTGAGAACAATCAAGCGCTTTAGAATTTCGGGTTCTGCATACAAATGGTTTGAAAGCTATTTATCTGACAGAACACAAAGGGCTGTTTTTAATAATTTTGTATCTTGTCCTGTTAACAATGAGCTTGGAGTGCCTCAGGGTATATTAATGACATGCGACGAGTTTTACGGTTTTGTGATATTAATCTTTTTGCTGACGATACTGTGTTATTCATTGCAGCTAAAGATTTAGAAGAAGCCGTTTCACGCTTGAATGAAGATTTGCGTTCT